ATAAATCTATCACGGTCTCCTGAGTGGTCCGCGTGGATTTTTTTCTAGTAAACTTTCCTTTGGTTTAGCAACATCTAGCAGTTAAATGCTTAAAAAAAAACAAATAAATATAGTTTTTTTTGAGACCCAATACTGTCTTCTAATGAATGTGAATGAGATAAGTAGATGCTCGGTTAGTTGTTTACTCGCCAGGCAGCCGGCGACGACAGATATGCTCTTTCCATGCGATCGTTAGTAAACACATCCCATACACATCCGAGCATAGAAGGTCTGTGTTTACGTTCGGGGGCAAAGTTTAGATGCTTGTGAACTTTCTAAGTGCATCCGTTAGTAGCTAATGAATAACGACAATTTAATGTTGGTTGTTCAGCTTCTTTGTGGAGTTGGCAGTGCGTCAAAGATGAAGATCTAGTACCCCAAGCACGAACCACTTTTTTTTGTTAACACTGGCAAAATCTCTATTTACAGACGATGGCGCCTTTAAGAGGCACACCGCCGAACGGACCGTCACCTGGCTCCCGCAAGCTTTAGGGGCCCCCGCAGTGGCTGCCCACTGAGGACCCCGTAACTCTTACGGGCGCTTTACGGTATAATATCCGCTAAAAACCCTTTTTTTTTAATACGCAGGTAAAAAATCTATTTACAGACGACGGCGCCTTTAAGAGGCACATCGCCGAACGGACCTCATACCTGGCTCCCGTAATTCTTACAAACCCCCCAGTGGCTGCCCACCAAGGACCTCGCAACTCTTACGGGCGCTTTACGGTATAATATCCGCTAAAAAAGTCCTGCGAATACCCTCTAAGCTGCTTAGCACGGAGCTGTGGGATCCCCGTTTAGGGATTCTTCCGCGTCTCCGCACCTAGCAGCCTCCCGGTCTAGCCGGGGCTCCACGGCAGGGGTCTCCCGGGGACCCCGCAGACGTGCGCGGGTAGGCCCGCGCGTGGGGGTTGAGTACGCGGCCTAGTGCCCACCGTACCGCCCCCCGTCCGCTGCGGAGGGCTACTTAGGCGTGCCCGTGTAGCTCCCTCCGCCGCCCCCCTCTTTGTAGGACAGAACTACAAGGGGGGGCTGCCGTCACGGGGTCCGTCGATGGCCGGCATGGCCAGCGCCATGCGAGGGACCCCCCGGGTAGGGTCATGGGACGGGCGCAGCCAGGGCGCGCCGCCGTCCTCTCCTACCCGTCCTCCTTTGGCGGGAGGGAGCGGCCAGAGGATCATCCTCCCGCTCCCTCTCAGCCGCCTCCCACGCCCTGTCGCTGCGGAGCATGGCCTCTACTATGCTCGGCAGCGAGAGGGCTCCGCATCCCAGCGCCGCTATGGGCTCGCGGCGCTGGTGTCGCCAGGCCGGCCAATAAGGTGTGCTCGGCCGTGATCCAATGACCCTCTAAGCTGCTTAGTGCGAAGCCATGGGATCCCCGTCTAGGGTTTCTTCCGGTTTTCCGCATCCAGCAGCCTCCCATAGAAGTCTTAGTAGTACGGCGGGCTATTTCCGTAACTCGACACCCAGTGCCTATTTTGCGTGGGGATTGACATCAGTCCTACCATCCTAGCTCCTCTGAAAGCTCAGCAGTCTAAAAAAAAAAGCAGCAGAAAAAGTTTCTAAAAAAAATATAGTTTATTTTTTCATTCGGTAGCATTGCATAATATAGTTTCCATAGAAATTAACGTTGACGATACGAATACTGTCAGTTTGTGCTTGGGGTGCCCTTAGCACGAACCAATATCGAATTCGTAACGCTTGCGAGTCCGAAATGTCATTGTCAAATGTGTACTGATTTTTAGTTCTCGTTACGTCCTTTGTGGCGCTGCTTTTCAAGATTTCATTCAAAATTTGCCATTGACAGTTCGCACTCGCAAACTATTCGAATTCGATGTTGGTTCATGTTAGAAGTACTGTTAAATAAACTTACATGGTGTTGGACTCGCTCTGTCAAGAATGAATAAATAAATAAATATTTCTAACACTCACACCAGTTAGCCTAGCCCCAAAGTAAGCATTATAAGGCTTGTGTTATGGGATACTAGGGTAACGGATAGAATACATATACTTTACATATATAAATATATTTATATAGAAATAAATATTAAACAAAAAAACAAAAACATAATATAAACATCCATGACTGGAGTACAAATGCTAGTGTTCATCACACAAACATCTGCCCCCACCGGGATTCTCCCTCCTCTCGAGTCGGCGACGCCATGAAACCCGGCGCACAAATCACTCGGCCACGGAGGTCGTCAAAATGGGTAGATTTCTCTCAACTCAACTCAAACATTGTAGAGTTATGGCGCAATTACACTTGTTTATTAGCCCGAAAACGAGTGTTAATGGAATTCGGGTAAACGACTAAGTGTAAATGAACAGAGTCGAGTACGCCTGTATTCGGGTAGTTTTCGTTCTGGTTACCCGACACTGGCTTTCAGCTCATATTCCAGTGTAAATATTGCTTGGGGTGCCCGAATTCAAGTAATGTCTTTAGCTAACGACCAAGTTAAAATAAAAAAATAAAAAATCAATATCGTAATTCAGTCTAGGCTGTTACAAGCACTTGTGAATGTCGAAAAGCTACGCCATCGCTTCGCAAATCTACGGCGGGAGACCTTGTACTGACAAGAAATGGTAAGAAACTCAGCCAGGGCTGTTTTTTTCTCCCTGTATTATATATAGAGTCGTCAAACTGAAAAATGACTTCAATATGAGGTAACTCATGAAGTCACTTTCCATTACAAATGTAAATAATATAAAAATTATGACTATAAAATAAAAAAATATATAAAAAACTGGTTTAACAAAGTTTAGGAAGGTTTAGGAATGCCGTGTCCTACTGTTTGGGCATAAAAAAATGAACGATTTAAGTTAAGTGCAACGATTAATAGTACCCAATGTAGCAAGAGCAGTCTGCTCTTCCTTCTCCGCTGGCAGCACCCGTTCACGAGCATGACGCATGAAACAGTCATCGCTTCGCATCGTCTACCTAAAAAAACATGATGTTTTTATTAAAGTACCTACCTACGTGTTTTTATTGATCAAATCACAGAACACAGAAATAGTTTAGAAGGGCGGGGCAGGCGTGCCATAGTAATATGTGAGCAAATGCTCATAACTTGACCAAAACTTTTGCACAGATTGCACTGTCGCTTTCGGTTGTGAGCGCTGATTGGTTCGATTATATATATTAGTTGGAAGTGTAGTGGGGGCGAGCCAGCGACATCAGTTCCCGTACATACGGTCTATGATCACCCTTCTAACCTCTTTCTGTGTTCTGTGGACCAAATAGGCACTTCACTAATAAGCCCTTTGGAAAAACCCCGCGGCAACAGACTTTATTGAGACAACTGAATTGAGTTACTATTACTTAGTTTATTAACATGGGTTAAAATTTTATATTCATCTTAAAGTTCTTTTGATAAAGAATGTATATCTATATAATGGTTTTTGTGTAGATTATATTCCATATCTATACGTATTAAACAGTTTGAGTAACAATTATAATACTTACAAAAAGTACACAAAAATACTATGGTGAGTGTTTCAGAATAAGTGATCAGTTAAACGTTAAGTAACTAGGTAGGTAGTGTTTTTTTTATTTTTGGAAAGTAAAAATATCTTATTATTTACGTTTCTGGAAAATAGGTTTATTTTATTAGATAAATGATTGGTTTGGAATGAACGACCGAAGGGAGACCAATCATTAATCAATGGTTATTTTACAAGAATATCACAAAATCAATTGACATAGAAAACATCGCAACCTTAATTGACTTTTCACAACAAAAAGAAGATTTGAACTTGCAATTGTAAAATACATAGGTACCTAACTAATTATAATTCAAATTATATACCTATTAAATTTACAACATCACCCAAAATATGAGAGCAGACCAAGGGCGGATCCAGGGGGTCATGGGGGTCATTACCACCCCCTGGGCTGGGTACAGATGGACCAAACCCAGAGGGATTTTATTTAAGTACTTTCAATATTTAATATACCACGAATAAATGACCCCCCCTGGCGCCAAAGCTGGATCCGCCCTTGGAGCAGACGCGATGCAAGCGCACGAAACGAGCGCGCATAACTCACAAAACTGAAAAAGTTCAATAAACAAAACCAGCGAGCCTTACAGTAGTCGCGTATGATGTGCAACATTTCCAACCTCACCTTATATTAGTAAAAAAAGAAATAAAACCTACTACAAAAGGAATAAGTCATTTGAACATTATGTTCTAAAAACAAATCAAATAGCGCGCCCTTTCTCGACTTCCTGTTACTCATTTCCGTCCCATTTCAAGAAATCACTCCCAAAAATTGCAGGGAAGCGAGAGGAAAGATGTTACACGTCAATAAAACCTACTACGAAAGGAATAAGCCATTTGAACATTATGTTTTAAAAACAAATCAAATAGCGCGCGCTTTCGCGACTTCCTGTTACACACTTCCGTCCCATTTCACGAAATCACTCCCACACATTGCAGGAAAGTGAGAGGAAGAATGTTACACATCAATAAAACCTACCAGAAAAGGTATAAGCCATTTGAACATGATTTTCTAAAAACAAATCAAATAGCGCACACTATTATAAAACCGTCCACTCCTCTCCCTGTCTTTCCCACCCATTCGACCTCCCTGGCTACATCTCGACGCGGCCTCGGATTCTGATGCGCCTACTCTACCAACTATCGAAACCTCTACATCACAATTATGTTATGTTATATTCATAAACTTAAAATGTAATAAATAAATAAGTGTTTAAAAAAAAATAGCGCACGCTTTCGCGACTTCCTGTTACACACTTCCGTCCCATTTCACGAAATCACCCCCACAAATTGCAGGAAAGCGAGAGGAAAGATGTTACACATCAATAAATAAGACGCTTCGATATAAGACGTTATTCATCGGGCAAGAAGTATATAGGGGAAGCCACGAGACGGGTAAATAGCAGCGCGCCAATGGGCGGGAGGCGTGGCTGCATGCCCGCGTACGTACGCTGCGCGCGCGCCGCTCCGAGCGACGACAGAAACGTTCTCCTCGCGCCGCGGTCCGCACTGATTAACGCTCAGCAAATTGATTTATAGTGTCCTGTTGAAAAAATAATCGCCGTGAAATGTGATGGAGGGACAGGACTGGCGCTCCGAGTGGCAGCAGCCGCGACTTGACGGTCAGTCAGATTAGGTTTATGCCAATTTTTAGTCTAATTGTTACCATTGGGTACGATGGTGCTTAGTGGTTGAACTCGGTAGGCGCGGCGATTCACGAATGCGAAAATTCATTCGAAGTTGACTTCTTTTGTATAGCGTTATGTCCGATGTGATAAGTTCAAATACCCATATCAGAAAGGACTAAATAAGCACTACTAAGTTCTTACTTAAAGTGAAACACTCTTGTCAAGCTTAATTTTTAAAGTGTGGAATGCTTTTGAGTGTACGAAGTGTTAAGTGCAAATTGTGTGAAACAGTGGTTGATTATGCTTAGATATACAATATATTGAGTTTTTTAAAAGGTATGTTTGTCATTAGGGTTCCTCATCCTTATTGCCGTCTTTTGTTCGTATATATTTTTTGGGTGTTGTCTTTTATATTTTGGTCCTCGGATCATACGCACGACTTTGACGCAAGACTATTCTGCAAGTGTGAAATAAATATCTTTTATAAAATAGATAATTATTTTCTGTAGTATAATATCATTTGATCTTAAAGCTTTGCGAACGAATTTTGTAGGAAAAGCAACGAATTCACTATGCTCCTAATTTTTAATTTCATTAACTTGACATTATTTTCTATGAACATGACATATTTAATTTTAGTAAATAACTAACAAGAAAGTTTTATTTACATATAAGTTTTATTTACATACATTGAAGACTACAGTTTTGGTTCTTACAAACCTTTAATTAAGGACCTACAAACCATGTTTTAAAAATGATCTCAGGTTAAAAATTTCATGAAAATCGGTTCAGTAATCTTTGAGATCATCGTGAACATATGAACTGACGCAACGCAACAGACTGAACTGGACAGAGTGGACTTTGTTTTATATATCGGCAATGATATGCAGGTAGCTACCTCAAGCAGAGAATTGGCGAGTGCCTCTAGAGCCTGGGTTCCGAACCTGGGGGTAATTACCCCTCCGAGGGTAAATCGGCCATACTTCGGGGGTAACAAAGAACCTGATTATTTGGTCAAATGTAAATAATAAGAAAATACTATATAATAATACTACAAAACAGAGCATGCGCACCTTCTTGCTAGCGAGCCCGCGGGGTGCAGAGTGTGGGAAGCGGGGCGAGTTTTTCTCCTGATGATGACATTATTAGAGACGAAGATGTAGATGTAGCGGTCAAATAAGAATTTCTTGGACTGATGATAACATTTCAAAGTCGGGGTAAAATCTGTTTTCCTAATAGGTTACAGGGGTAGCAGTATTGGAAAGGTTAGAAAACACTGCTCTAGAGGTATTCCAGGCGGATGGCATTTCCCCACGGGGGCAAACTCCTCTCCGTCTGGAGCCTCTAGACCACTCGAACCTGAGGAGACCATCGTCAAAGTTTCTATGAAAGGAGCTAGATTGTTCTTAGATTGTGGCGCTGTTTAGTTACCATAGAAACTTTAACGATTCGATACGATTACAGAGCTGTTAAAGTTTGTTTGGGCCTCTGGTTTCATCAGACGGTATAGGGAAGGCCTGTGCTCTGAGCAGGCCATCAGCAGTGGACAATTAATAGACTTCTGGTACTTTTAAATATAATAGGGATGATGACTAATTTTTTTTTCTTCGTTTATCGGGTAGATTATCAAAAAGTTTTGGACACGTATTTTTTCTTTTTTCACATAATATAAACATTGCAGAGATATACTGATTTGAAAAGTCGCACGTTTGAGTACACTTATAAGTAAAAATTCACTCAACAGTGACGTCACGAGCCCCTACTCCCAAACTTTGACACGCTATAACTTTGTAATTTTTTGGTTGATTGCCCAAAGAAAAAATACGTGTCCATTATTTTTTGATCATCTAACTGACGGACTAAATAGAATTTCGTTTACTGTACCCCGTCATCAACCCTATTCCGCCAGTTTTGCGCAACATTTACTAAACTGTGGAAAATTTCTAATATCGACAATTTGCGATGATTGATCCGCGTAATACGGAGTTCATTATTTTTCGTACGCCATCTGGTAATGTTAGTGTTCGGCTTGGGCATAGCATAGTTAGGTTTTTAGCACATGAGTTAAGAGGACACAGAGTCGATGCAAAGTTTGCAACGCGTGAGTCTGAGTGAGCACTGGCGCTGGGGGCGGTCTGTCGCATACGCAGCGAAACGTTTAACACTAAGAAATGTCCATAATTGGTGGATCTGAAATAATTTTGTGGACAATTCATAAGAGTTGCATTATGGGAATCCAAACGGGGATTTTGGTTTAATCGAGCGCTGAAGAAAAACCTTAAGGGGGACAACCTTGTACCTTGAGAAGTACTCCCACCATATCTGAAGCCTTTATATTAGAACGTCTAGGATAAAAAAAACAATCGGCCATGACTTTTAGTCGCGTTCAAATCATCAGTCTTTTGAACGGGAGTTACTAGAGTGTTTACGTAACAACAACAACATCCCTTCTCAATGTGTGACGCGCTCATTTTTTTCCCTATATTTTCTACCCTTTTATACGGTCACTCCCACATCATTCAAACCGGCAGATTAATATTTTTCTGTCATCAGAAATGTTACATGAACCCTCCAATAGGTACTATTCATTTTTTTTTTGAGTGTGTATGCTGTTGGTCGCAGGTGACCTTTACAGCGTCACCGGGTTTGGGGACGGCGAGATCTTAAGGGGACCTCAAGCCGAGAATTGGCGAGTGCCTCTAGAGGTATTCCAGGCGGATGGCGTCTCCTCACGGGGGGAATCTTCTCTCCGTCTGGAGCCTCTAGACCAGTCGAACCTGAGGGGGTAGGTACTATAGAGGCTGCAGTAGCTTCTACTATTGTACAGGTCGCGGCACATAACTCTAGCGCTGAACAAAACGCGGAAGGGATAGCTGCGTATGGCTACGACTGGAGAGCCAATCGGCGCAACGCACGCCCACCCGCGCACCTCGTTTCCCCCCAAGACATCTTAATTTTTACTTCCGCGCAATAACGGACAGCGTTAGAGTTTCGTGCCGCGACTAATGTTTCCAATTTCAATGAGGAAATTTTGGCTTGATGTTTCTATTATAGCGGGGCGTTAAACCAACAGTGCTAACTCACTCGCGCACTGCACAAAACTTTGCCTGTGCTGTCTTCACTCATGCGATTGTTACTGCTCATCTCGAATATAGTTTGGTTTCAAGTCTGCATGTTCGGAGCGTTTGGCGTAGTTGTCCGATAGCGTTCATTCATCCATCCGTCGGCGCGGACGCACCCTGCGACGATTGACGCGGCCGAAACATCTGCTTGCCTCGCTCGTTGAACCGATCTGTACTTACGAATGTCGTATAAAAGGAACAGTATGAGTCGTACACTGTTAGAACATACAATGTATGCAGATGAGAGCTTAAAAAATAGTTAACTAAGTATATTTCTTTTTAAGCATTTAACTCCTAGATTTACAATTCTAAACAAAAAATTTAGACACGGCCAGGGTGCTTATACTTACTTATTTCGGAATCATTTCTTTTATGTATCTTCTCTATGTTTTGGAATGTTTCGGAGGAGCTCGATGGCGCGGATGGTTAGCGCGTTCGGCTGCGATCGTTGAAGTTAAGTAACTTTCGCAGTGGTCGGTCATTGGATGGGTGACCGTAAATCTTCTATTTCGAGTTCTTCCATGCTGCGGATGGTACGTTAAGTTAAAACTTACCTACCAACTTTATAAGAAAACCAAAAACGAAAAAAACCTTTACCGAATTCCTTCATGAAATAAATTCAAAATAATAAAAAAAAAGATTGCAAGAAAGCAAAAATTGACGCACTGAGTAATTAACGACTCAAACGATGTTTAATATGTATTTCTATATAAATATACTTATATATGTACAGTACCTATATGTATTCTTTCCGTTACCCTAGCATCCCATAACACAAGCCTTATAGTGCTTACTTTGGGGCTAGGCTAATTGGTGTGTAAAAAAAAATGAAAAAATAAAAAAAAAAGATTGGTCGTCGAGAAATTAAAAGAGTGTTTTATAGCATGCGCACACGCATTGGTAGGTAACAAACACGTTTTTCGTACGACGATTCAAGTAAAGGTCATTGGGCCCTCAATGCGTGTGTTCCGTCAAAAACAACAGGAATCAGTGTCGCGCTTCTAAACATGTCAATGGTTATTAATGAGCTTGGGGTGGGCGTTTTTTGCGCCCATTAGTGACGGAGAAAAAAAAAATATAATAGCTAATAACGCTTCAGAAATGTTTCGGATATTTCGAATGCAGAGTTCGTTTCGTATTTGTAGTCGCACTTGAAGGACTTATTTATTTATTTAGGCATGCTAATAGTCAGACATTAATGATTGAAAAGGATAGGTACTATACAATTTTCTTAAATGCAGACCAATTATAAGCATACACAAAAATCTCAAGAAAGTTAATAATCTAACAAATTTGATCTGATCACAAATCTATATACATAATGGATAGACTAATTGACTTGCGTTAATTTGTCCAAACACATACACAAAAGAAGAACACATTGTTTCGTTGTCTATTAACAAAATAAGAGGGTTCTATATAGGCGACCTACTAGAAGGTATCTTCTTTAATATAAAGATGAATCGCTGAATGTGTTGCTAATCGCAAATCTCGAGAACAGCTGAACCGATTTCGATAATTCTTTTTTTAGAATATTCCTTGAAGTACGAGGATGGTTCCTAGCCAGAGTAAAATTAAAAATGCCTGAAAATGTCCAAAAACAACACTTTTCTATACTCCCATACAAACGATTCGTAATAATACTTAAAAGTCCATTTGAACTTTAATACCATATCATAAATTTCAAAAGTTAGTGGAAAGGTTCCGGGAAGGCAAAACGTCAATAGAAGTTTGGAAAAGGCAAATATACCATTTTCAGTTTTTATTATAATTACTTATATGAAGAGTTATTTAAATCAACACTACACTATACACCGAAGCGAAGCGAGGGCGGGCCACCAGTATATCTTAACATAAATATCCCGAAACATC